TCTCAAATCTAGGCTGTGTGGATCAAATTCAGCAACTTTTGCAGTGCCGTATCAGTGATTTTTAATAATTTCCTAATATTACTACAGCCAGGTCACCCACAGTCTCTGCCAAAATCTAAGCTATTTGATCTTTTCCCACTCACCTTTACTGGTTTTTTAAAATCTCCATTGAGAAAGCAAAGGGGTCTGCAAGCATCTGTCCGAGGGAAAGCAATTTTTGTCGCAAGCACACGAGGGGGGGAAGAAGCAGCAGCATCCACTTCCTGGGCATGGTTAGGCATGCTAAGGCGACCTAATGCCATGTCTCTAATTTAAGGTAGAAAGAAGGTCCTGAAGTCTTTTCCAGAGGTATTATTTCTCAATGTGTTCTCTCTTGAAACTCCTGATGCAAGCATCAGGGTTTAAAAGATCCGATAGCTGAGGCTGGTTCAAGACCTGATTGCAGAAAGGAGAAATTTCTCTCAGTACTTGGTGGGATTACCCTCCATGCATAATTATTCATTAAATGCTCCAAAAGCATTGTTAATTTCTTTAGAATACGTTGCACATTGGACAGAGGAGTCCTTAAAATTTGAGATCATCATGTGCGGGGGGAGGGGGGGAGAAGAGGGGCACAAAACAGACCTAAGTAATCTGGGCAGAAGGTGACCTCTTTTTCCTCTCCCATTGAAACAAAGGCTTTTGGGCAAAATCATTAGTGATTTCTGCCTGTTTGGTAATCAAAGGCTGGGAGACAGCAAACAAAAGAAAGTTCATCTAGCCAAGGCTTTTCCTTTTACTCTTGAACTCCAATATAATTCTCAAAGTCTATACATTTAAAAAAAAAAGAAGCTAAATAATGCATAGATTATCAAGGTCCTGAAACAAGGTATTGACTCTTGCACAGAAAATCAGAGATTATAACAACATCCGGAGAGATGGGTGTGAATAAAGAGTTAAATGTGGGAGGAAAGTTAGGACAAAATTGAGATCCCAGAACAGTAAATTGTTAGATCTCCAGGATCCATTTGTTTTCTTTGTATTTTGGTGAGGAGTATTGTACTTTAAAGTCACAAGAGTGGGGGTGAAGGAGGATGCCTTAGGCTGACCATTGAATTTCAGAGCTTTCCTCTGCTTGTGTAACAACTTTAACATTATTCAGTGTTATTCATGATATTAGTAAAAAAAAAAAAACCCCACCTCAATGTTTGTGAATCTGTCTCATTTATCTTGGGTACATACTGTACATGGGCCCATGAAAGTACATTTCTAGTGCTAGATGAGTATGTAATTATATTTATCTGCTTAAGAAACAGTAACAGAAAAAGTTACTGGCATGTTTAGAAAAGCTAAACAAAATCGGCTCGGTGATTTTTAAAAGATGGGGAATTTGTGCAGTGTCAGAATTATAAACTCTTGGTACATAAAATGTAAAATAAAACAGGGCTGCATGTTAATGAAAGCATTGAAACCAGTGGTGTCTGTAACAAAGGCACAGGGGAGTAGCCCAAGCCCAGGAATAGGAGCCAGGAACTCTTGAGTTCTAATCCCACCTGTGACTCTCTTGTAGATCCACCATCACTACAGTCTGAGTGATTTACAGACATTTATCCATCCAACACTCACATGGGGAAAGGAAATGTTATCTCCATTTTGCAGATGGGGGAACTAAAATATAGGATGAGATTTTCAAAAGCACTTGAGGTTACCTAATGGTTCCTATGGAAGTTATTGACTTCCTTAGGAGCCAAGTTAGACCAACCAAGAGCTCTTTTGAAAATCCCACCCAGTCGGAATGAGAGACTTATCAAAAAGCATGCTGCAGGAACTGAACCTAGTTCTTTTGAGGCCTAGAATTATGCCTTAAGTGCAAGACCATTTTTGCCCTTCTTCAGTCTTGAGCAAGTCACAACTTTTCTGCCTCGGTTTCCCCACCTGCATTATGAGGATAAATATTACTTGACAGGAAGGTTGTGCAGTTTTGTATTAGTAAATCACTTTAAAGAGGAAAGGTGCAAAGCACCAAGTATTTTACTGTTTCAGAGTATTGTCTATTTTGTGCTCTGTGTTCCTAGAATTTAAAACCTAGAACTGATGTTTGAGCCCTCCATGTTTATAATAAAAATATGTACTGCAGGGTTGAGTTATGAATACCTGGCAAAAGCCATTTATTGTCAAAGGATAATACAGATTTAATGATAGCAGTATCCACCGTGCTGTAGAAAAAAATGCTGCTGAGATGAGAGGCTATCATTCTACTCCATCCTATATAGATTTAACCCACCAGGAGAGACTAATCCAGATCCTAACTCTCATTGAACCAAAAGGTTTCAGGCTTTTCCAGATCAATACTATGATCAGAAAAGAGCACAATATAGTAGTAAAGAGGGTCATTTCACTGAGCTCATAAGATAGTTTGTCAATATGATTGGATTTTGTGCCATTTTGTAGCATTTTCTTAAATTGAGTAATCATTCTCTTGTTGCGTTTTTACAAATACAATTCCCCCATTAGAAACGAATTATGGTTTTAATTTAATAGGTTTAGTGATATAAAGAGAGATTGTGTGTCAACAAAACCCTGCCTTCTGACAAATAATGTAATTTATAGCAATCCAGACAGCAATAAATGACATTAGCCTGACCACAAGCCATTCAGTTCTTTGGGAATATGGTCCCTGTTAATCAATAACTGGGTAAATGCTCCTTTGCATTCCTTATCAAATGACAGCCAGATGGTACTGTTAAATTCATTCTGACAGGATTTTGGAATTAGCTGGGTTTATACTATTGTTAATCTTCTGCTGTCTGCTCTGCTAGGACCTCCCCACCTGTTTCCAGCAACCCCTGAGGTCGCAACCTTAGGAAACAGTCTAGCCAGATGGTCATTCAGATACAGTGGAACCAGAGAGATTCCCGGGTAGTAGCAGTGTCTTTGTCTGCTGGGAGAAGAATAAGAAAGCAAATATTTTGGTCTTAAAGCTGCTGACACTAGGGTGGGGAGCGGATCCCAACCATTTCTCTAGGTCTAGACCAGGGGTCGGCAACATTCGGCACGCAGCTCGCCAGGGTAAGCACCCTAGCGGGCCGGGCCAGTTTATTTACCTGCTGACGCGGCAGGTTCGGCCAATCGCGGCCCCCACTCGCCGGAGTTCGCCGTCCCAGGCCAATGGGGGCAGCGGGAAGCGGCACGGGCCGAGGGATGTGCTGGCTGCGGCTTCCTGCCGCCCCCATTGGCCCGGGACGGCGAACCATGGCCAGTGGGGGCCACGATCGGCTGAACCTGCCGCGTCAGCAGGTAAATAAACTGGCCCGGCCTGCTAGGGTGCTTACCCTGGCGAGCCGCATGCCGAACGTTGCCGACCCCTGGTCTAGACAATTTCACACTAATTCCATTACACAATGCAGCAAAATGACTTGCAGAAATATGTGAGTAACAATCTATGGAAACTGGTGTATATTAAACAATCTGAGATGGTCATTTGTTATAATTTAAAAGCTTTACTTAATCTAAGGGTTTTTTTGTTTTTGTTTTTTATCATTACATGTGCTGTATTGTCCAATACATAGGAAATATTAAAGCAGACAAAGAGGAAGGCTGTGAGAATTGAAATAGCATATTATTTAATAAATAACGTATTTGTCCATTGTGGTATCTGAAAGTGACTTCAGTTTATAATTGTTTATAACCGTGGCCCCAATTTGCCACTTATCTGGAAAAATAAAACAAAGAGGACATCTTGCTAATTTAGGGTCTAATCCAGTGACCACAGAAATCAAAGAAACAGTTCCCATTAACTTCATTGGCAGTTGGATCAGGCTCTTAGGCCTTGTCTACACTACCGCAGTAAGTCGACCTAAGTTACGCTACTCAGCTACTTGAATAACGTAGCTTAGATCAACTTACTGTGGTGTCTACACCATCCTTAATCGTCTCGTTCCGGTGGAGTACTGGAGTCAACCGGAGAGTGCTCCGCGGTTGATTTAGCAGGTCTTCACTAGACCTGCTAAATCGACCCTCGCTGCATCGATCGCAGCAACCTTAATCCCCGGTAAGTGTAGACATGGCCTTAGCCTCTTTTAGATCCATGGCTGTAAGGACACACTATGCTCTCCAGGCCAACAGAGTTGGGCTGTGGCACATGATCTACGTTTTGACATCCTACCCTTGGCCTCATGTTCCAAGTCTAGCTCCAAGACCACAGCATGTTTTAGATGAACTTTGCTATAACCCAAAAATGTTCAAATAATCAAATGTCCAACTTACTGTGCAAACAAATGTAAACAACTGGGCAACCATTCCCCGTGATAGGAAAGAGTGCACATAGAGCTGTTTGTTTATATTGGACGGAGGAGGGTGAGGATAAAGTTCAGCTACTGCAAATATCAGTTTAAAAATTACATGTCTGGAGTCCTTCAGGCAAACTCTATTCTATAGAGTGTCAGTCAGGTAGGTCAGTTGTCAGGCTCAATAGTCTTGATAAGTTGGTTTACAAATATGCATCTTAGTTCCCCCTTCTCTCAGTCTCTAAACAAGACCAGATGAAATCCTGGCCCTATGGGACTTAATGGGAGTTTTGCCATTGAGTTGAATGAAGTCAGGATTTCACTCATACATCCTTACCCAATTTTTATCTTTTTGTAAATACATTTTCATCTTTCCAAAACCAGAATGGAGTTATAATCAGGATTTAAAGCATGTAACTGTGCCCACAATCCCCATTATCCTCAATGGGAACTACATGCCTGGATCAGAGGGAAAAACTAACTCAAGCTATTTAAGACGAGTACCTGAAAATGTTCAAAGTACAGTGTGAAAGCCTTTGAATCAGTGTCTTCCAAGAGCAGTTCAAAGTAGGCCATGAAAAAAGTATTCGAGCTGACGCACCGCAGCGTGGTTTGTTTCATCCCAGGTCAGATGGAAAAAACAACACAGCATTCATGGGACAGGTATAGTTTCAGAAAGAAAGGAAGAGAGATTAGCAATTACTAACAATCCTTTCTCTTCTGTCATTTGAACAGTATTCGGGCTTTCAACAGACAGCAGACAAGTGCTTTGTTTGTGGACACCTCATAATGGAAATGGTAAGAGAGTTAATTGTGGAATACATTTCTGTTGATGCATTTCAGGGAGTATATGGTAATGTGTTGTTTGCTTTTGACCTTGTCAGACCACTACTGCCAAGGACATTTTAATCAAGGACGTATCACTATTAAAATGAAAATAAATTCACACCGTGTTGCCGTTAACACTTAATGCATAGAGGGGTCCTTCTCCTCTATCTGAACTTGTGGGACTCTGATTGACGTTGGTGAGAGTTCCACCAAGCAGGGAGGAGGGGATATAGTCAGCTAGCAGTGAAAAAACTTTGGTACATTTTAATATGACGCCATAAAATATAGACTCTTTTCTGGGGGAAAGTGATAAAACAAAGGAATGCTGTTTCTTGTATAGCCAGGTGAAACAGCAGGAACCCTATCGTATGAGAGGGAGCATGGTCCATTGGTCAGAGCTGGGGGAGCTAGTAATCAAAAGTTCTGTGCTCTTTTCCCTTCTCTTGCATTGTGATCTTGTGCACCTCACTTAACCGTTCTGTGCCTCAGTATCCCCTTCTGTAAAATGGGAATAAGAGGAGGTTACTTACCTGTATCTGGAGGTTCTTCGAGCTGTGTAGTCCCTATTTGGATTCTAAACGTGAGTGCGCATGTGCACCATGTGATGGAGCTGGAACAGCTCTGTAGCAGTGTCCGTTGACCCTCATGTCCATCATCCTCGTGTGCCCAGCCAAGGGTATAAGAGGCTGTGCGGGTTGACACCGCTCTCGAGCCCTCTTACCACTAAGCATGTAGTCTGCAGCAGAGGGGATGGAGGGCAGGGACTGGAATCCAAATAGGGGCCACACATCTCAAAAGACCCTCCAGTTACAGGTAAGTAACCTCCTCCTCTTCTTGGCGTGATGGTCCCTATATGGATTCCAAACGTGGTTGAGTAGCAAGCAGTGATCAGCGTGGAGGTGGGCACAAGGACTCACGAGAAGTCACAGACCGCAAAACAGCACGACCAATGGCCGCATCAGCCCCCGATGCCAGAGCAATGGTGTAGTGAGAGGGGAAGGCGTGGATGGAGTTCCACATGGCTGCTTGGCAAATGGCCTGCCTTGCGGATGTGCCATGGCAGGACAACATTGCGGCTTGGGCTCATGTGTCGTGAGCCGTGACTCCGGGAGGTGGAGTTATGTTGGAAAGAGTGTAGCATTCGTAAATTCAATGGGAGAGCCATTTGGAGATGCGCTGCGAGGAGAGGGCTTGGCCCTTGCAGTGTTCAGCAACAAAGAGTCTGGGTGAGGCATGCCCGCATGCCTTGGAGGTTGAAGGCCAGTGCGTGGCGGACGTCGAGAGAGTGCAGTGTCCTGGCTCTGTTGGGAGTTGTGGGGTTTGGGATAGAAGATTGGCAGGTGGTTGAGGTAGAACGTGGGCACCACCTTAGCGATGAATTTGGGGTGCAGGCATAAGGGGACCTTGCCTTATGGAAGACGGTGTGGGGGGATCAGCTATCATGGCTCCGTCCGGGGCTTCTTGGGAGATGGAGCAGCCGAGTCGGCATGCAACTCGCCTGACCTGGCCCGGCTCGGGGAGTCAACGCTGCATTTAGAGGCTGTCCCAGACTAGGATCCAGCCTTAGGCCCATGTCTGTGCTTATGCTCACGGCGGGGCTTGTCAGATTGCAGCAGTACCAGCCGATCCAGCACCCGAGAAGAAGTCAAAGGGGCGCTCATAGACTGTGCCGGGCAGTGCTCTGGTGGTTCCGGATCTGATTGTGCATGTGTGCACATAGCCTCTTCCATCAGGAACTTACAGAGACAAAGTTCCCTGGCTTCCTGCATTCGGGACAGGAAAGAAAAGCAAATCATGCAACGGATGACAACGTGGGCTTTGCCAAGGCAGTAAAGGCACCGCTGGTGCTCGTCGCTTGCAGAGAAGAAGCATGACACAGAGCGCCGTGAGCAGGGCGGCGAGCCCGGCCGGGGCTCTCCGCTCTCCCCGACCGGCCGGAGCGCCGGGGGGAGGGCGGCGAGCCCGCTGCGGCTCCGCTCTCCCCGACTGGCCGGAGCGCGCCGCCCCCCTCCAGGCACCGCCCCAAGCACATGCTTGGTGGGCTGGTGCCTGGAGCCGGCCCTGGCTGGGATGACTTAGCTAATGAGGATTCTTGCTCCTATACGGGTTCCCCTGGTTGGATATTGTTCATTTTAGCTGGAGAACAAATTTCTAGAGTTGTGAAGGAGGGGAAGGGTCATTTCAGGAGTCCATAATATCTAGCTGGTGAAGCTCTGTAGTTGGAAGCTTGGCAAGTGATCATCTGCCTTCTCCGATTAGCAAGCATGCTCCAACAAAAGGAAATATTGCTGTGAGCTCCAGAAATTAAGCAGTCTTATTTGGCTAATTCCTTCAAGCCCTCCCCCAGTAATGAGTAGGAAAACAAACATGTCTGTGCAGTAGTAGGAATCCTGCTTATCATTGTACAGGGTAAAAACAAACAAACAAAAAATTAGACCTATGACGCCTCCACAGACTTGGGCCCGAAGCTGCTCAGTAGTTGGAATTGCAGTTGACTCAGCGGTAGTTCTGTGCCCTCAATGGCTGCAGAATCAGATCAATGTAATAATTGGTCTATTATCTGTATAGCCAGATACCAAGGTGATGCATGTGGTAAAACACAGACGAACAGAGAGAGAGAGAATGAGTCGTTTCTGAGTAACAACAGACGTACAGATCAAATATAACTTGATTCCCAGTCACTGGCTAGATAACCCTAGGGTATTCTTTAAAAAACACAATTGGACTGTAGTTCATACTTTTGCCTAGGCACTGTGTTTTATTGATTTGAACTTTACTCATAAAAATATCCACAGGGTTTTAGGACCTTAGTGGGGAAAGGATCTTTAACTTGTTAGCTTCTCCAGACTGAGCTGGGGGAAATGTACTGGCAGATACGATTTGAAATTGCTTTCAGAAGGTGACAGTCACCTACAAAAAATGTGCAATGTCTGATGTAACCCCTGTTGTGAGCTGCATAACTGTACCATGTATGGGAGGCAAAATAAATTCCCAGTGTTGCCCCATATGCCTGACACAGCCTCCTTGAAATACCACCGCTGCAATGGAAAGGTTTTATTTGCAAGGTCACCAGCAGCAAAAGGATTTTTTTGGAGGGGATATAGAGGTGACTGTGCTGGAAGCCAGCTGCTGAAACACTGATTGGCAGAGTCTCAAAAGCCTGTGACATTTTAATATCAGTTTATATTAACTGAACATTCAGGTAGACCTGATCAGCCTGTAAAAGAGAGGGCCATCACTGTGACAGTGAAGTAGATGATAGCCGGGCTGTATTTGTGGTGGCTTAGAACAACTAATAAGGATTTGATTATTGAAATTACGTATTTGTAATTTACCATTTTTCATAGATTCATGGATTTTAAGGCCACAAGAGACCATCTAGAACAACTTCCTATATGTCACATGCCATTTAGTTTCATCCCTATACTGAGCCCAGTAACTTTTGTTTGGCTAAAACATATCTCCCAGAAAAGCATCCAGTCTCCATCTGAAGACATTTTTACTTTCGGTTGTGCGCGAAGAGTTTTGGTTTAATGTACATCCATTTGCAGGATCATCCCTCCATAATGAATGGTGAAGCTACTTTCCCATTGTACTCCCAATTTTCACTGTCCCTTAACATCACCAAGGGCCTGGTGTAAAGCCCATTGAAATTAATGAGAATCTGGGCTTTGGATCAGGCCCTTTGCTGGTGAAGCCACAAAGTCAATATTTCTTCCTGAGGAGCATGCTGTGATTAAAATTTAGAACTGCTGATGCACGGGGAATGTTGTCTGGAAAACAAACACTGTCTCATTTTGTCGTCTGGCTCTTCTTAAGATCTTACAGGCTCTTGGAAAGTCATACCATCCTGGCTGTTTCCGCTGCGTGGTCTGTAATGAATGTCTGGACGGAGTCCCCTTCACTGTAGACGTGGAGAACAATATTTACTGTGTCAAAGACTATCACACGTAAGAACACAGATGCATTGACTGCTTTTGAAAAGTTGTTCATAATGAATCATCTTTGCAACAGACACTGATTTCAATGGGAGTTAGGAGCCTAAATACTTTTAAAACTCTGGCCTGGAATCTTGCTCCTATTTGCCCCAGGCCCCTTTACACCACTCTGACAGCATAAAGAGTCACTTACATTTACATCCATTTAAAGGCTACTTTATACTGCCAGAGCGCTAAAGAAGAATCGGGCCGTACGCACGAATTCTCTCCTGAGGGGCTGTTGAGGTTTCTCATGAACTCGTAGGAGTATGTGTTTATGTGCACGCTGGTAAATCCTCTGTTCCTGTCAGAGCCTAGCTCTATTAATCATGGGTAGTAATGGAATATAATGGCCCATAATATTCCAGTTAAGGTTAGAATTGTGTATGTCATCCTGATGACAACTCTTTGAATTATGCTGAAGCTCAGTAACCACTCTGGGACTCCCTTCTGTCACAGAGAATGTGAAGGTTCTTAGGTGCTGTCACCGCGATATCACAAACCATGATATGCCCAGTCCTGCAATGAGATCTGCTAATGCAGGCCACTGTGCCCAAGAGGAATCACACTGAAGTCAACAGGATTCCAGATCCACTCCAATCCATCCCAGCACAGGAGTGGAGTGAATATTAGCACAACTGCTCTATAGCACAGTTGTAGGTGAGAATGCTTGACCAGTTCAGTGTGAGCTGATTTTCCACCTTCGCCCCCAACAACCACTTGTAGCCAACACCTTTTCTTGAAGTCCCTACCGCTGCTTCTGAACACAGTTATTAGAGCTGTAACCACATAGGAAAGCTGTTCAAGTCCTGTGATGGACAAAGTCCTAGAATGATCTTCGCCATGCAGTCCCTCTGTCTCACTGGTTCCCAACCTTTTCCATACTGAGAGCCCCTGGATCTCCCCCTTCAGTTACCTGGGACCCACCCCTCTCCCATACAGCAGTATGAGGAGGACAGGATGGTTGTGCTACCCTGATACCTGTTGGGTCACAATCCCCAAGTCAAGAAACACTTCTCTCTATATACAGGTTCATTGAGAAAATGTGTATGGCATTTATTAATAAGAGCGTTGGATATAATAGTCAATGGAGGAGGAGAAAAGGTACCTGTAGAACCACCTGTGGATGTTTGGGAGATCTGACATAGAAAGAGCAGCAAGAGGTAGAGATAGGCTTGAATCAGCCCCGTCTCCAAATCCAAACTTTCGCGGAGTTTGAATTCCTGATCTGGATCCATATTTTGCAGTTAAAGCCCATCTCTAAAGAGGAGCTATGGTTGAAATGCTCTCGGGGTTCTAAATCTTTTAAATCTAATGTGAACATTTTCTCTTCTTGAATCTTAGTGTTTTTGCACCAAAATGCGCTTCCTGTAACCAGCCAATTCTACCAGCACAGGTATGAAGGGAGTGTGTGTGTGTGTGTGTGTGTGTGTGTGTGTGTGTGTGTGTGTGTGTGTGTGTGTGTGTGTGTGTGTAGTAAAAATTCGTTAGATAATGTGGTTGTTTGCATATGGACATTTTTCAAAGGTCTGCTCAAACACAGTAAGAAATAGACATCTTGGCTATTCAAGACCCTTCCCCCAGCCCCAGAATGAACTGCATAACTAATACAAAATTAAACACAGCTCAGCAATAATATGATTCTTATACAACTCCAAGAGTCATAAGAATCAAAGTACTTAGCAATTATGCACCAAAGCACTTTGTATCTTTAGGGTGCTTCAGGGGTATTAATTAATGTTGCTGTACATCTGATTTAATTCAAAGCCCTGGCTAGAGAACTGAGAACAGAACGTTTATTTTTAGAATCTCTCAACTTCCCATTCATTCAAGAAGTACACTTTGATTGCTAAATCGGATGTTAGCTGTTAAGATACCCAGGCTCCAAACAGGGGATGATGGTAACATTTGCCCTGTTCAAAGAGCACATGGCCTCAGCCACATCACAGTGCCACGGATGAAAATGCTGCAGAAAGTTGGCTACGATGTTTGAGGCAGAGCTGGGGAACCGTGTATTCGAGATGGATCTGAAGCAAAACGCTGGTTCCAAACCCCACCAAGCTTTGGGCCCATCTCTGTCTGGTGAATTGAAACCTGAACTCCAGAACCAAACCTACTCAACCTTTCGAGGAATACAGGGTTTTGGAGCTTGTACAAGCAGCACTAATAGGGCCTGAACGTTAAACTTATTTTCAGGACAGGTTATCATCACTGTTCATGGTGATAGATATCACAGACCTTGTGTTAGTTTCAAACTGCTGCACAGAGCAGTGAGGATGCAAATTAACTGTAGGAAAGATGTCTTATCAAACCATGCAAAGTGAGGAGTTATGGGATTTGACTTTTTATTTTAGGTAAGCCCACTAGTATGTGCTGTTTACTTAATAAGGGCTTACTTTTCCAAAGTTACACATACACAGCTCAAGTGATTTGTTATTGGTCTCCCTGCCACTAATTACAATAATGATACCAGAACTATCTGGCATGTATCTTGGGGCCCAGTCCTGCAAGCTACCTCCCAGGAAGTGCTGGGTTCCCCCAACTCCTTGGAAATCAATGAAAATTGGGGGTGCTCAGCGCATTGCAACTGTAGCTCCCTGCAAGCAGCTGGTGTTTCAAACCCATCTTGTGTATGAATTGCATAGGAGCCTTATGCAACCACCCTTACCCATATTGAGTAGCATCTTACTCTGTGAATAGTCCTATTGATTGCAAGAGGGTACCATGCAACATGAAAAGAGGTGGCAGAATCAAGCCCATAACAGCAGGACTGAACTGAGCAAAGCCAAAGTTCAGATTTATTTAAATTGTCTTTGACCAAATGGTTGAATACTTTGGAATTTGATCCCTACTTATATGTTTATCTTAGCTGGAAGTGGCACTTTGGCACAGAACAACATTTGTACATGAAGAGAGGATCTGTTCACCCACATACCTTCTTATTCTCCTGTCTGCATGTGACACTAATGCATACTCCGCTGGTAGTGACATGAAAATGGCATAGAACCAGCAGCACTCATATCATTCAAGAGGCAGTGACTGGTCAGATCGAGGTTATAGTCCAGGGCCTGACAATTCTCCCCTCTACACACACAGACTTCCTGGTGCACATTCCATGTTTCCAGACTAATAGTACGCATTGTTCAGGCCACATCATATGCACCCCATAAGCCATTGAGCTTGTGTCTGCAATGCAAAAGGGGACTGTGACATGCCACATTTCTGCTCCTCCTCCAATGCACATCAGGTATATAAGCCACAATCTTGCCCATACTGCTTCAGTGAGGTGCCTGCATCTCTCATATTTGAAATGCTTCTAAAGAGGAACCTGCGATAGCATGCCATGATTACACGTGTTCTCTTTATTCTCATCTACTTCCCTGCATTTTGCACATTACAGAGTAACCCTTCCCCTAAAAGCTTGGCCCATTCTACCTCATCCTCTGACTTAGCTGGCAGTTAACAAGACTTGCAGCAAACCTCCTCCAAGCACATGATATGTTGTTTCCCAAGGAGGGCATATGTGTTACTTCAAGTCTGGCAGGTCAGGTAATGACTTGCCTGCCGCTCCTCTCGGATAGAGCATCAGATGTGACGCAGGCTCTAAGCACACCTGGAATTAGAAACAATTCAAGGCAAAATTTTAAAGAAGCTTCATTTTCAGTGGCTCAGAAAAGGAGTCGGTGAAATTACCTGTGACGTATGTGCTGTTTTACAGGGTCTGGGTTGGCACATATCTTCATACGTGCACTACTGCATGTGTACCCACTGGCCAGGGTATTGCCGATGGACATAGCTAATAGTTGTGCTATCTGACTATGCAAATTTCAAGCTGGTGGTGTACGGGGTGTGTGTGTGTGTGTGTGTGTGTGTGTGTGTGTGTGTGTGAGAGAGAGAGAGAGAGAGAGCGCGAGCGAGCTCTTGGTGGAAAGTCAAGCCCAAAGTGGCTGCAAAGAACAAACAGCTTAATACATAGTCGTTTCTGGTTGGTAATTCATTCCAAATCCTGGGTTCCCTTTGAAAATGGCTCTTTTTCAAGGAGTCCTAGGAACTTGTGAACCATGGGCCATATTCTGATCTTTGAATAGACATGGATAGTTGCCAATGACTTCAAAGGGAGCTGCGCATGTGCAGCTGGGGTCTAAACAGGGGGTTCTTAGAGATCCAGGATATCCACCCTGCCAGAATAATAGTATGGTACAAACAGTAAGCAACAGGTAGAAAATTGACAAAATGCCACCTACATTCCTGGTCTGATTTTTCTCTCTATTTTCCAAACCAGGGCTCCGAGGAGACCATTCGAGTGGTGTCAATGGACAGAGATTACCATGTAGAATGTTATCACTGCGAGGTAAGCTTGCAGCATCTCTGCACTGAGTTGGATCAAGGCAATATCTGGCCTTTAGGAGCAGAAGATGCCTGAGTGTAGCAGTGAATAAGTGGCTGGGCTTTACATGGTGATGTAGTGGAACTACCATAGTGAGTAGTTCCAGCCAGCTGTCTGCTGGCATGGTCTGTCTGTCTTGGCACTAAGAGCAAAGAGGCAGAAGTGGGATGAAGAGGAGTTTGTTAGGGACAGTTTTTCAAGTGAGGGAGGTGGGTGAGGGAGAGGAAAGCTAAGCTGGGATCCTGAAAGTCAATGAGTCAGTCCACCCCAGCTGTCTCTTTCAGATGGGCAAGCCATCCATTTCTGTTAATGTTTTAAGAAAATAATTTTTTAATCAGTCATAGGAAATCTCAATATCTAAGATCTCAGCGATTTTCCCATCTAATGCGTTGTGTGGATTCACCTGCGATAAGATGGCAGCTCTCTCTCTGCCCCCCCCCCCCCAATTTTATATTAGAATGTCCCACTGAGGATTTATTTTCAGTTCGGTTTCATTATTCAGTTCACCATTCTCTCTCTCCAGTTTAAAGCAAATCAGCCTCCCTGCTTCCACCCAGGATGGCTAACTCCATTATGTGCATAGTTAGAGTAGTTAGACATCTGCCTGACGTGGGCATATGGAACGTATGTGGGTGTGGTGTTCTGTCCCATCTAGTGGCACCCAGACCACAGAGAGAGATATTAATGAGTCTGTTCTACAGTCCGAGCTAAGGGCTGTATGGCTTTTAGCTCATTCACTAAGCTCCAGCGGTCCCAGGTTCAATCCTGCTTGCCAACAACCGGGGTCTCTTGGTGTTACACATACACAAATATTGAACAGGAAGAGCTGTGGGCTGTTTTACTGGGCTGGGCTCAGGTTCCTTTGAAAATGAGGGCATTAAAATAGTGTATTTCAGCTGTCAAGGTTTCCAAAAGTGACTTGATAATTTTGGAGTCATTCATTTTTGGGTACCAGGTTGAGAGACCTTAAAGGTGCTTGGCTTCAAGAAGTGCTAAGCACCTGCTCCTGAAAACCCTTTCAGAGGTCACCCCTTGGGCACCCAAACTCACTAGTCCCTTTGGAAAGCCGCCTAACTCAGCAGGAATTAAATGTTCATTCAAGAGAAGTGACATATAAAAGGAATGTTCATCTTGTCTGTGTTGCAAACCAAACAGCAGTTTGTAAATCAGTAGGGCCCCATTTAAAACTGAAATTCATTAAGAGGACAGCCTTTTTTAGGGCAACATTGTATGTTTGTGCAGCAAGATGGGAGGAAAAAGAAGAGGTCGGGGGCTAGGCATGTTATTAGCATTTGGCATTTCTTTAGTGAATCCCAAGTCATTAAAGCTCTAAACAAGGGACTGAACTAACAGAGCATTGCCGATGGGTAGCAGGCCTGCTGGCATGACTGCAATCCGATACAGTGTTTGGCTAGCAATTAACAGGCCTGAGCCCAGACGCTTATGTCTCACTCATGGTTTATTTCATTCTCAGACCCCCATCAAATCTGCCGGTCTGTCCACTTTTATGAGCCGGCTATCTAGTCTGTCATGATTCTAATTGAAGCTCTGAGGCTGATGGTCTAAAAATAATTGGGCATTCAGAGTTTGCATTGTTTACCTACAGTGTGGGGAACATTTGTCAATATAGTGGAGTCTACAGGAAGACGAAAGACCTGCCATATTCCAGCTACTGTGATTTCTTTACAGGGAAGCGTAATACATTTTAAAAAGGGCTCTATGGTGGAACTGTTTGAAAATTTCCTACCTAATTAAATGGGAAAGAATTTGTGAGATTCATTTATAAACTGTGATGGAAGCTAAGAAGTCATAAAATCTCAAGTTCCTTCCTGTTACCTCTGTATTTCGTCACTTAATTTAATCAATGTCTGGCAAAAAAAGAAAAAAAAACCAAAACCAACAAAATTTCTGACAAATGATCTTTTACCTTTACCGAAATGTTCTCTTATATTCCCGAAATCTTTTAAGTTAAGGGATATAAAGTTATTAAGTAAATATATATTATTGAATTATCTGAATAATAAAAGGTCCCTAAACTTTTATAAAATGCTCCTGCATTGCGTGAAAGCACATTAATACCTTATTCTTTTTTATACTTTCGCTGTAGAAATATGACAAGATTTGAGCATTTTAATGTAAACTATGGAAGTTAACAGATCACATTTCAAATATGATTAATTAATCTTTGCCTCATCTTTGATATTAAAAAAATAGGGCGAGGAGCACTGAAAATAATCTAGTTGCACATATTGCTCAACTTCTTCGTCAGGATTACCTAGAAACCAGAATTTCTATGTACTCCCTACCCTTTTTCCAAATCCTGGAATCCAAATGTAAAACCTCCATGATTTGCCTGACCTCAACTGGCATGGCTAAATAACCAAGAGGCTGCTCTGAACTCAAGCACTTCCCTGCTGCAACACACATAGTTGTCACCAAGGAGAATTCCTATTTTGCTTGGATTATTTTCTTTTTACCTCTGTCACTCTGCTCTTGTTGGCTGAAATTATTTGCCATTCTATGGAGGTGCACCTCTACCTCGATATAACGCTGTCCTCAGGAGCCAAAAAAGCTTACCGCATTATAGGTGAAACCGCGTTATATTGAACTTGCTTTGATCCACCGGAGTGCGCAGCCCCGCCCCCCCAGAGCACTGCTTTGCCGCGTTATTTCCGAATTCATGTTATATCGGGTCGCGTTATATCGAGGTAGAGGTGTATTACATAAATAAGACCAAGACTTCCGCCCCACCCCACCCACCCCCAGATTTTGTGCGAGTCAGTTAGAATTTCAGGGGGGAAAGTTGCCTGCTTTTAAAATATGCCAGCTTTACTTCATCTAATCTAAATTTAATCTGAGAAACGTACTGTAGAAAGGGAAGAGACCTATTTAGTGAGAGGCCTGAACTGGAACATGAGGCCTGACACCCATTGAACTTTTCAGCTTGCCTCGTTATCTGTAAGATGTACCCCAACCAGAACACCAATCTTAGGAAGTCTGTTCTGCATCACAATCCAAAATTCAAATGGCTTCTCTCTCATCCAAATGATGGTCTCTCTTTACTCAGCTCTTCTCTGGTTCTCCAACTATCTCTGCTCTTCCTCACTCCAAGTCCAACATCATTCACCTTGTCTGACCGGCTCTACATTTAGGAGGTCAACGTGTGCTACATTACCATGTGATTAGTCTGATCTTTGTCATGGCTAGATCAATGAGGTGGACTGACGAAAATAAATGCAGGTATCAACCAGAGAAGATATGCCACAAAATTACATAAATTTCACGTTCCCTTAGATTTCAGTGACTCGCTCTTAATTTAATACATTATAGTCAATGTCCATCTACCAAATAGTTCTGAGATTGCTGCGGTTAACATGAAAGAGAGAACAAGAGACTCCTTAGAGGCTTCAAAGTCTGAATGACGTTTTATTGAAATGACGTAATCAGTCACTAGCTAACTTGTGGGTGTGTGTTTGTTTCTCTTAGGACTGCGGTCTCCAGCTCAACGATGAAGAAGGCCATCGTTGCTATCCTTTAGAGGGCCACCTACTCTGTCATGGCTGTCATATTAGGCGCCTCAATATCAAAGTGCCACCACATCCACCTCCAAGCTACCCAATGCATGTTACAGAACTCTGAAAGACACTTTCTATAGCAATGAATCGTGAGAGAGAAGATGGAAGAACTAAAAATGACTTTCCAGTTTTTAAAGATGAAATTCCTCTAATAATCCTCTAAACCAACTATTTATTTTTTTTTAAATCCTCTGTCAGAGGGGCCTCTATGATCATGTCCATGTTTCCATTTACCTTCTGCATTTTCACTGAGACACCACTTACTTGAGAAAAAAAAAAATGATGCACCACTGAACTACCTGTAAGCAGCAGCATTTCCCAGTACAGTGGTACGAAAGCCACTCATTGCAGTGGGAGTTTTGCCTGAGTAAGAAGTGTAGAATTAATCCCCCTGAGTTAGCAACCTACATATCACAACAAGTGTGATAAGATAAATACTAGCATTTTAGCTAGTCCCATTGCATCCTAGTCTTAGAGAATAAACATTCTCACATTTCTGGAATACTTAGATTCCCAGCAGTAGTTCATAGGAAGCAAAGTAAATATATTTTTAGTAACAAAAATCTTCAACCATGGGTTAATTGGTGGTATTCACACCTAGGAAAGGCTTCGGGCCATCTTTTCCATCCTATTTGCTGTCACAGTGATCCAACAGAGTATTTAGCCTGCTGCAGAAACATGGCAGGTGTCTCCTATAGGAAGCACATTACAGAAGAATGTGTCCATTCGCAAAGTTAAGATTCTCTCATAAAGGGTTATTGCATATGAAGAAAATTCTGGCTCTCCATAATAACTTGCCACTTACATGCTTGATTTGTTGTAGTGGCACGAGACCAACCGCAGCTTTAAAAGCGTTTGTCATGTTCTTCTGGTGATTTGGCACTTACTAAGCAATCCATTTTGTAAACCTGTTTTTGTTACTAGGTTTAGCAGCCCTTTTGGCTCTGCGAGGAGACACTTCTATGTCTCAATCCTACTTGTTTTATACAAGACTTCATTTGTTACAAACTGCTTTGCAATTTTTTTCGTTACATTTTAAAAATTGGCAGCAGTTCTGCCATCTTTTCAGTTTGATGTGTTCTTTTCCAGATGTAATTTTGAATGATTACAGTGATCATCTTCATTTGAAAACCAAGCATGATTTAGCAGAAATAATAATTTAGAGTTTCAGACAATTGAAACAGAAATTGGTATTTTATAACAAGTATTAGATGTACATAGAATGTACACACTTCATCTTTTGCATAAGCTTTTACAGTAACCTCAGAACTCTGGGGTAATATATATCTTCCATATAGGAAGTTAGATGAATCTTTTTTTAATGTTTGTTTTCTACTGTGCGTTGATGATTTACATGCAATCACACATCTGTATGTTTAAATAACAATTCCATGTATTCTCATGAGAATTGATCTACGCTTTCCTGAAATTATTTTATAGTTTGAAATATGGCCATCACACCCTTCCTCAGATATATTTAAATGACAAAATGTTTTTACTGTGAATTAGGTGGAAATATCAGGCAAGATTCTCAACATGTGTAAATTGAAAGACCTGCAGTGACTTCAACGAAGTTATGCAGATTTACACCACCTAAGAATCTGTCCTATCAGTTTTAGGATTGTCACATGTTAAGTTTCATCAAACTAATTAAGGAAATAGCTATTTGGCAACACCATTGAAGTGTAGTATATGAAGACTCCATTGATGCAATAAGGCAATTCAGGATATGGTTGGAAAGCACAAGGAGCAACCAATGGGCTCTGATTCCTGAATGGAATAATTAACTCATGAGATTCTCACTCCCTTTATAGAGCTTTTTGATATTCCAAAATATCTTTATTCATTGATGATGGGAAGAGATGAATGTAACAGTTCAGAAACTGCTGCTGAATTGTCTGGTTGGCAAAGATTAATCTGCCCTACTGGATGATCGTCAGTAAGTCCAATGTGCCTTTAACCAGTCATTTTATAATTAATAGCTGGCTTAGTTAATGTGAAAGCCATGTTTTGGAGCACTGCTAATGCTACAAATAACCTCCTACAGTGGCAGTAAAAATTAACCTTCTCACAAATCTGACTTTATTGAAGTAACTCGAGGAATTTGCCTAGTAATGAAAGTATCAAATTGAGGGTGTCAAAGCTTAAAGGTAAATATTTTGTATTAGTCACAGCATAATACTTTTCCATTTCACAAAACAGCTTTGGGCTTCAAGGCATTGTATTAGCATGCGTTATTGTTCAAACTATATGTATAAAACCCCCACTTTAAGAAAAAAATATTAAAACATACAGAAGATTTGGGTCTGTTCACATGAGCAAGCCAACCCAGAACAGTGCTTTCTACTGAAAAGTGCATTTGCTCCAGGTGACTGGGAGGTAGAACTTCATAGAACCATAGAAAACAGAGATGAGAGACCAAACTAGGTCATTTAGACCATCCCTCTGCCAGTGTATTAACTAGTGCTAGGTCTATTAAGTTTGTAAGTTTTCACTCCTACATTGCTTTTCAGTGGACAGCACTATCTAACATGTACATACAATTCTTCTTCGAAAACTATCATACTTTAGAACAGAATAATACTGAATTTCACATTTTAATTTTTCAGTTCTTTCTAGTAGTTCTACTCAGTTCCAATATGTGTTAAGTATCTTCATGGTAAAATGTTGAAAAATTATGTTTCAATATAGAAAGAGCCGTTTGTTTAAAACCAGAAAGCAGCAGTTGTTGTTCCAGTATTTTCTATAGACAGGGGCATTCTATTAAAACACCATAAATTACAACTGGCTTTTAGAGAGATGAGGTCAGGGAGGTAATATTGTTTATTGGACCAACTTTTGGTGGTGAAAGAGACAAGCTTTCAAGCTACACAAAGCTCTTCAGGTCAGCTGACTTTTACATCATTAATATAAGAGCTGGAGCATAGTTGGTATAATTCACCTATTATTATTATTATTATTAAGGAAGAATAAGGGGAAAGCATTCACCTATTATTATTATTATTCTTAAGGAAGAATAAGGGGAAAGCTATAAGCAAATCTAAAGTGACATGCTGTACAATTTAGTATTGATGACAGTTCCTGTGCATTTTACCTCCTGTCTGGGGAATTGTATAAATGAAAGCATCTAATGCTTTGCTTAAGGAGTATTCTTAAGCTTAAGTAAACTTCCCTGTATTCATTTTATAACATGATTATTTATTGGAACCCACCTCTGTGTACTGTACTTTCAGAATATTTCCATAAAGTTTCAGCATTTTACAACTTGTTCTCATTTGCATCATGAGAACTCAGGAATAAACCTTTCATATTTCATTTTTTGTGGAAGATTTCTACAGTGTCCCAAAAGGATGTGGCCATTTTAGGAGATTCACAGAGTCCCTCGTGCACTGGAAGACAAGTTCCAAAGAAATGACCAAAATTATGATAATTTTGGCGGGGAGGGGGGGAGTCTCAGATATTTGAGCTTTCAAAAAGGGTTTTTTGTATATTTTGTAAAGTGGGGCTTCAAAAGTAAAGTATGGATGGAGGAGTTCTTTAAGACAAGAAATTCCAGAACAGTTAAGTAAACCAAAGCTCTAAAGGAGGCACACAAAAGCTGCTTTCTTGTGTTTCAAGAAAAGTTTAAAAGTTTGTGATTCATCATGCAACTAATGCCATAACTAGAATATATAATTTGACTTAAATTAAGTTTTAAATTAAGTTGAGAAATATTTTCATTTTCTTTAAAAGAATATAGTTTCTTCCAAGAACTTGGACCAACGTTGATTTTTATTTTGTAGGAAATATATAAATGCCCTGTTTGTATATCATGTAACTAGTTTACATGCTGCAAATATACATTAGTTTAACTATTTTTGTATATATCCTTGTAAAACTTCTAAATGTGCTTCTTTGTCTTTTAGTCCCTAGAATGACTTGTGGTTTTTATGTTTCAGTGTTTGATTCCCTTGATTGTTGAAGAAAAAAGATTGGGAAATGTAGATTTATTTATCTAAAGAAGAAGCTACTTACTATCATCCTAAGTTATTTAATATTAAAAGTCAGAAGTTTCATTTAACCTTAGATGTTATAATCTGCTTTTTTCAATAAAGACATTTTGTAGTTAACTTTGATTTTGTAATTTGTTGCCTGTGAGTAAAGAGTTTATTTTTATTTGTTTGCCAGTAAAAACATGTTAAGAGATCCTTATGCTGCTTACAGAAATGCCAACTGATATTAACTGATTACAGCTGTATTCATGAAAGTGTTTGGTTCTTTAGTGCAAATGTAAATAATTAAGGTCTAAAATATGCCCGTAGCTAACAGTTTGCAGCTCCACTTAGAAAAGAATTTAGCCACTTTGGCAATTTGTAATTAAACCTTAACCAGTCTGGCTATTTCATATTTGTAGCACTCAGTTTAGATAAACACGTCATTCTCAGGGCACCTATTGTTTCGTAATGCGCACACTTTCCTTCAGAGAGGCACTGGCGTAGGCGATAATCCTGCAAAGGCTAAGCAGGATCAGGGCTCTGGTTTGGATAGGTCTCTGTATTTCCTTACCCAGTTACTTTGCTTTATAGCAGGGGTCGGCAACGTTTGGCATGCGGCTCGCCAGGGTAAGCACCCTAGCGGGCCGGGCCAGTTTATTTACCTGCTGACGCGGCAGGTTCGGCCGATCGCGGCCCCCGCTGGCCGCGGTTTGCGTCCCGGGCTAATGGGGGCGGCGGGAAGCGACGCAAGCGAG